AGGTGACAGGGACATGGGGATGTCCCTCAGGAGGTGACAGGGACACGGGTGACACCCTGGAGGTGACAGGGACACAGTGTCACCCTGGAGGTGACGGGCCCCGCCGGTGTCCCAGGTACGACCTCCAGATCCGGTACCTGCCCGAGGATTTCCTGGAGAGCTTCAAGGAGGACAGGACCACGCTGCTCTACTTCTACCAGCAGGTCAGGGCTGCTCCAACCCCAAATTCCCCAAATTCCCCAAATTCCCAAAACCCCAAAATTCCCAAAATTCCCACAATCCTCAAAATCCCCCAAATTCCAAAAGGTCTCAAAATCCCCAAAACCCCAAAAATCCCCAAGTTCCCTTAATCCCTGAAACTCCCCAAATCCCCAAAAATCCCCAAATCCCCCAAGTTCCCCAAATCCCCAAAATTCCCAAAACTCCCCAAATCCCCAAACTCCCCAAATCCTCAAAACCCCGAAAATCCCCAAATTCCCTTAATCCCCAAAACCCCCCAAACCCCCAAATTCCCCAAATTACCAAATTTCCCAAAATTCCCAAAATCTTCAAAATCCCCTAAATTCTAAAAATTCTTAAAATCCCCCAAATCCCCAAAATTCCCAAAACTCCCCAAATCCCCAAAACCCTGAAAATCCCCAAATTCCCTTAATCCCCAAAACCCCCCAAACCCCCAAATCCCCCAAATTACCAAATTTCCCAAAATTCCCAAAATCTTCAAAATCCCCCAAATTCTAAAAATTCTTAAAATCCCCCAAATCCCCAAAAATCCCAAAAATCCCCCAAATCCCCCAAACCCCCAAAATTCCCCAAATCCCCAAATCCTCCAAATTCTAAAAATTCTCAAAATCCCCAAAATTCCCAAACTCCCCAAAAGTCCCAGAATTCCTGAAATTCCAAAAATCCCCAAAGTTCCCAAAGTTCCCAAAATTCCCCAAACCCTCAAAATCCCCTAAATTCTAAAAATTCTCAAACTCCCCAAAATTCCCCAAATCCCCAAATTCCCCAAATCCCCAAAACCCTCAAAAATTCCCACAATCCTCAAAACCCCCCAAATACTAAAAAATTTCAAAGTTCCCAAAATTCCCTAAATCCCCCAAATTCTAAAAATTCCCCAAATCCCCAAACCCCCCAAAATCTGCAAAATTGCCAAAACTCCCCCAATTCCCAAAATCCCCAGAATTCCAAAAATTCCCAAAATTCCCAAATTCCCCAAAAAATCCCCAAATTCTTGAAATTCCAAAAATCCCCAATATTCCCAAAACTCTCACAATTTCCAAAATTCCCCAAATCCCCAAAATTCCCCAAACCCCCAAAATCCTCAAAATTCCCCAAGTCCCCAAAATGCTCAAAATCTCCAAAATCCCCCAAATTCTCCAAAATCCCCAAAATTCCCCAAACCCCCAAAATCCCCCAATCCCACGGTTTTGTCACCCTGGAGTGGCAGCGGTGGCCACATCTCTGGGAGTGGCCAGCGGGGACATCCGGGGATGTCATTGTCTCCTGTCACCGTCCCTGTCACCGTCCCTGTCACCATCTCCTGCTGTCCCTGGCTGTCCCTGGGTGACACACTGTCCTGGGTGTCCCTGGGTGTCCCCTGGGTGTCCCCGAGTGTCTCTGGATGTCCCTGGGTGTCCCCTGGGTGTCCCTGGGTGGGCCTGGCTGTCCCTGGATGTCCCTGGATGTCCCTGGATGTCCCTTGGTGTCCCTGGATGTCCCCTGGGTGTCCCTTGGTGTCCCCGGGTGTCCCTCGGGGTCCCCTGGGTGTCCCTGGGTGTCCCTGGGCGTCCCTGGGTGTCCCCGGATGTCCCTTGGTGTCCCTGGGTGTCCCTGGGTGTCCCTGGGTGTCTCCTGGGTGTCCCCGGGTGTCCCTTGGTGTCCCCTGGGTGTTCCCTGGGTGTCCCTGGATGTCCCTGGGTGTCCCTGGGTGTCCCTGGATGTCCCTGGGTGTCCCCTGGGTGTCTCCTGGGTGTCCCCGGGTGTCCCTTGGTGTCCCCTGGGTGTTCCCCGGGTGTCCCTGGGTGTCCCCTGGGTGTCCCTGGGTGTCCCTGGGTGTCCTGGCTGTCCCTGGGTGTCCCCGCTGTCCCCACTGTCCCTGGCTGTCCCCATGTCCCTGCGGTGTCCCCCCGGTGACGCGCTGTCCCTGGCTGTCCCTGGCTGTCCCCACTGTCCCCGGTGTCCCCATGTCCCCATGTCCCCACGGTGTCCCCGCGGTGTCCCCGCTGTCCCCATGTCCCCGCGGTGACGCGCTGTCCCTGGCTGTCCCCGGTGTCCCCATGTCCCCATGTCCCCTCGGTGTCCCTGGTTGTCCCTGGCTGTCCCTTGGTGGTCCCTGGGTGTCCCCACTGTCCCCGCTGTCCCCGCTGTCCCCATGTCCCCGCGTTGTCCCCGCGTTGTCCCCGCGGTGTCCCCTCTGTCCCCATGTCCCCGCGGTGACGCGCTGTCCCTGGGTGTCCCCTCTGTCCCCGGTGTCCCCATGTCCCCGCGGTGACGCGCTGTCCCCGGTGTCCCCGCGGTGACGCGCTGTCCCCGGTGTCCCTGCGGTGTCCCCGGTGTCCCCATGTCCCCGCGGTGACGCGCTGTCCCTGGGTGTCCCCGCGGTGTCCCCGGTGTCCCCATGTCCCCGCGGTGACGCGCTGTCCCTGGGTGTCCCCGCGGTGTCCCCGCTGTCCCCATGTCCCCGCGGTGGCGCACTGTCCCTGGGTGTCCCCGCGGTGTCCCCGGTGTCCCCATGTCCCCGCGGTGACGCGCTGTCCCTGGGTGTCCCCATGTCCCCATGTCCCCATGTCCCCGCGGTGTCCCCGCGGTGTCCCCTCTGTCCCCATGTCCCCATGTCCCCGTGGTGACGCACTGGCCCTGGCTGTCCCCGGTGTCCCCATGTCCCCGCGGTGACGCGCTGTCCCCCAGCTGCGCAGCGAGTACATGCAGAGCTACGCCAGCAAGGTCAGCGAGGGGATGGCGCTGCAGCTGGGCTGCCTCGAGCTGCGGTACGGCCTGGCCCTGTCACCTGTCACCTGTGTCACCTGTGTCACCTGTGTCACCATGTCACCTGTGTCACATGTGTCACCTGTGTCCCCTGTGTCACCGTGTCACCTGTGTCACCGTGTCCCTGTGTCCTTCTGTCCCTGTGTCCTTCTGTCCTTGTGTCTTTCTGGGCTGCCTCGAGCTGCGGTACGGCCTGGCCCTGTCACCTGTGTCACCTGTGTCCCTGTGTCACCTGTGTCCCTGTGTCCCCGTGTCACCTGTGTCCCCTGTGTCACCTGTGTCCCCATGTCACCTGTGTCCCCGTGTCCCTGTGTCACCTGTGTCACCATGTCACCTGTGTCCCCGTGTCCCTGTGTCACCTGTGTCCCTGTGTCCCTGTGTCCTGCTGTCCCTGTGTCCTTCTGTCCTTGTGTCTTTCTGGGCTGCCTCGAGCTGCGGTACGGCCTGGCCCTGTCACCTGTCACCTGTGTCACCTGTGTCACCGTGTCACCATGTCACCTGTGTCACCTGTGTTACTGTGTCACCGTGTCACCTGTGTCACCTGTGTCACCTGTGTCCCTGTGTCCCTGTGTCCTGCTGTCCCTGTGTCCTTCTGTCCTTGTGTCTTTCTGTCCCTGTGTCATTTTGTCCCTGTGTCACCTTGTCCCCTGGTGTCCCTTTGTGTCCCTTCGTGTCCCCTTGTGTCCCCTGGTGTCACCTGGTGTCACCTTGTCCCCTTGTGTCCCACTGTGTCCCACTGTCCCTGTGTCCTCTCCTTGTGTCTTTGTGTCTCTGTGTCACTTTGTCCCTGTGTCCCCTGCTGTCCCTGTGTCCTTCTGTCCTTCTGTCTCTGTGTGACTTTGTCCCTGTGTCCCCTGGTGTCCCCATGTGTCCCTTGTCCACTGGTGTCCCTCTGTGTGTCCCTGTGACATGGAGGGACATGGGGACATGGGGACATGGGGACATGGGAACATGGGGACATGGAGGGACATGGAGGGACATGGGGACATGGGGACATGGGGACATGGAGGGACATGGGAACATGGGGACATGGGGACATGGGGACATGGGGACATGGGTACATGGGGACATAGAGGGACATGGGGACATGGAGGGACATGGGTACATGAAGACATGGGGGGACATGGGGACATGGAGGGACATGGAGGGACATGGGGGGACATGGAGGGACATGGAGGGACATGGGGACATGGGGACATGGAGGGACATGGGGACATGGGGGGACATGGGGACATGGGTACATGGGGACATGGGGGGACATGGAGACATGGAGGGACATGGGGACATGGGTACATGGGAACATGGGGGGACATGGAGACATGGAGGGACATGGGTACATGGGGACATGGGGGGACATGGAGACATGGAGGGACATGGGGACATGGAGGGACATGGGGACATGGAGGGACATGGGGACATGGAGACATGGAGGGACATGGAGGGACATGGGGACATGGGGACATGGGGACATGGAGGGACATGGGAACATGGAGGGACATGGGGACATGGAGGGACATGGAGGGACATGGGGACATGGGGACATGGGGACATGGGGGGACATGGAGACATGGAGGGACATGGGGACATGGAGGGACATGGGGACATGGGGACATGGAGACATGGAGACATGGAGGGACATGGGGACATGGAGGGACATGGGGACATGGGGGGACATGGGAACATGGAGGGACATGGGGACATGGGGACATGGGTACATGGGGACATGGAGGGACATGGGGACATGGGGACATGGGGGGACATGGGGACATGGAGGGACATGGGGACATGGGGACATGGAGGATGTGGAGGGACATGGG